GATAGAGAGTTAGAAACATCGATGAGAGAGAAACATCAATCAGCTGCATCCTGCACATCTCCAACTGGGGATGTGCCCGCAACCAAGGTACATGCCCTTGACCAGAATCGACCCCGGGACCCTTCAGTCCGCAGGCCGACGCTCTATCCACTGAGCCAAACCGGTTTTGGGCAAAAAAACCTTTAAAGAAAAAGTTGAGTATGAAATAAACTTCTTTTTACTTGCACTTGCAAGAGAGATCAGTTATCAGAGAACTGGCTCTCTGAACAAAAATATAGGCTGATGTTTAAAGACAAAAATCTTGTGGGGAAGGGAACAAGCTTTCCTCAACCCTCAAGGTCCTTCCAGCTGGTCTAGTAATCAAACAGACATGACACAATTTAGCAAAAGAAAATAACCAAATTTAATACACACATGAGAATAGGCCCTAGCCGGTTTCGCTCAGTGGGTAGAGTATTGGCCCGAGAACTAAAGGGTCCTGGGTTTTATTCCAGTCAAGGGCATGTATCTCGGCTGCAGGCTGGATCCCCAGCCCTGGTCAAAGTGTGTGTGGGAGGCAACAAATCAATGTGTCTCTCGCACATCCACATCGATGTTTCTCTCTCTGTCTCTCCCCCTCCTTTCCACTCTCTCTAAAAGTCAATGGAAAAATATCCTCTGGCAATTATTAACAAACAAACAAAAAAAGAATAGGAACCCCACATACATAAGAGAATCAGAGATCCGCGCATGCATGAGAGGTTGAGACACAGAAAGGAAACATGAATATATGACATCCTGAACTAGGGATGAGGTAAGGGGCCTTGAGGGCTTCAAAAGGTCATTGCAGGAGGATAAGAACAGCAGGCCTTTAGTAAATAGTTTGCCTGCCCTAAGATAAGTCAAAGGAAGTTATCTCTGATAATCTCTTACAGGCAAGGCCTCTAATTCAAATTCTTCTCCAGTGGTCGGCAAACTCATTAGTCAACAGAGCCAAATATCAACAGTACAACGATTGAAGTTTCTTTTGAGAGCCAAATTTTTTTAAACTTAAACTATATAGGTAGGTACATTGTTAATAACTTAATTAGGGTACTCCTAAGGCTTAGGAAGAGCCACACTCAAGGGGCCAAAGAGCCGCATGTGGCTCGAAAGCCGCAGTTTGCCGACCACAGTTCTAGGCAATTAAGAAATTTCTCTTGAGCCTGTGGCTAAAGTTGCCTTTAGCTCAAAACAATATGCATACCACAGAGGGACATCTTGGGGTGATTCCTCTTGGATCCCCACAATCACAAGGTCAGAAGATAGCTCAAATTACCAGGTAATAAGTCTGCTTCGTTGCACGTAGGTCAATTTTGATAAAAGCAATTAAAATTTTATTTCAATTAAAAAACAGCAATACACCAACACCAAACAACAGAATCCCAGGTGTCTTATTTGGGACTATAGGAATGTAAGGCCCTTTTTGGACTGTAAAAATATAAATTCAGAAAAACACACACATTTGAGCTTCAGTATAAAGCATGTGTTAGAGGAAGGCAGGATTGAAGAGGGAGACCAGTTACAGGAATTCAGGCAAGCTCTCACAAGGAGGAAATAAGACAATGGCACAGACTGTGTGTGGGGCAGGAGGGGGGAGATGGAAAGTGAATCAATGAAAAAACTAGAAAGAAGGGGTAAGGATATTTAGCAATCTTTTTTAGTCTAGTTCCAAGTTTTAGATAAGGTGTCTTCACATTATTAAATTCATCTTCATTGATGAGCACCAAAACTTTTATTGGAAATACTCTTTTGTTGAAATATTAGACCTGCCTCCTCTTTCTGGTTTCGTGGGCAATAACTGAATGTTCCTGCCATTTACTGGGATAGAACATAAGCTGGTTAAAAACAAGTCTTAGGTAAATCGATCTTGAATATGTATTACGGTTTATTGCTTGCAAGAGAATCCTCTATAATAAAAGCCCAATATGCAAATTGTCCTCTTGACTGGGAGTTCGACCACTTCCTATGATGTGCGCTGAACACCAGGGGGTGGTGTGGAACATGGCGGGCGTTGGTGACACAGCACTGGCAGCCAGCGGCATGGAGGTGCTGAAGGCCCCGATGGGCCCTGATGAGAGCGGGACTGGAGTGGGATGGTGGAGCAGGTGAGTGGGTGGCACCAGGCCAAGATGGGTGGGAGCCACTGGTTGCCAGGTGGGGGCCGATCGTCCCACAGATCCAAGCGCAGGCCGACCAGCGGCAGCAGCAGCAGGGGGAAGGTGGCCCGGGGAAGGGAGGGAGTACCCAGCCAGCAGCCCTACCAGTGCACGAATTTCGTGCACTGGGCCTCTAGTTGGTGAATACTAGTGTATGGAAATGAGGACTTATAGTTGAGAAAACAAAGATTTACATCAGCAGCGATTTTTTTAAAAAGCAGCTACTAAATTAATGAACACAGTTTTATTCACAGTCATAAAAACACCATACTGGTAATTATAGAGCAGCAGTTCTCAACCTGTGGGTCGCAACCCCTTTGGGGGTGGAACGACCCTTTCACAAGGGTTGCCTAAGACCATCGGAAAACACATATAATTACATATTGTTTTTGTGATTAATCACTATGCTTTAATTATGTTCAATTTGTAACAATGAAAATACATCCTGCATATCAGATATTTACATTACAATTCATAACATTAGCAAAATTACAGTTATGAAGTAACAACGAAAATAATTTTATGGTTGGGGGTCACCACACCATGAGGAACTGTATTAAAGGATCGCGGCATTAGGAAGGTTGAGAACCACTGTTATAGAGGAAATGGAGAGCAGAATACTCAGAAATACCACGTGTGTAGCCTATCCCTAATAAACATGCCATCTATGAAGCAGATGATCAGGATGCACCTGGGACTGTTAATAGGATAGTAATTTCATTCTGTTTACAGGGAAAGCAGAAACCCCATCTAAAGGCAGAAGCAGAGAACCCAAGCGACAGGTGGCTGCCCGTTCATTTCTGAAACTACCAAGTAAGAAGCAGAAACATGGTTTGCCTAGTTCTTGATTTGGGACAATTTTTTCCCCCTTTGGCAGGCGCGAAGCAAGTTTTAATTATCAGGTGAGATGGTGAGTTAATTTTGGAATGTGTTGAATTAAGGGGCCAGTGGGATACCTGAGTCCAGTTGGGAAATGGACATCTGGGTCCAGAACTTGACTGATTTACATTGCAAACAGATTTAGATGGTACATTTATTAACATTACCATTATGGTTTAATCGCAGTTCAGTGTAAGCATCATCAAGGGTGCATACTCTATTTGGCAAGCCACTCTGTCCGGCGCCTAGAAGTGCGATTGGCACAAAGCACCCTAAAGGGCTTCCTAACGAATACCTTGGAAATCAGAACTTGGCGGTCCCTGACTTCCAACACGAGGTCCGGGCGCCCTCTGGTTTCGCCCCTCCTGCCCCTTTAAGAAGCGCAGGGTCGGTGAGCGGAAGCGCGGCTGGGAAGGAGGGCGGTGCCCGCACCGGG